TTTGTTTAAAATGTATTTATACTGTATGTATATTTATATTTTTATTATGGCCAATATTAAACATCTATTTTATCTAAAAATATCATAGCACTAACATTAATATTTTTTGTCCATGTCATATCAATGCTATGATACTTAAATGAATTTAGACATTGCAGCATTATAATACGCAGTATGAAATGTGAATAATTATTTTTAAATGAATAGTTAATGAGAGTTAAATGATAAGACGAGTCTTAAATGAAGAGGGGCCGCTTTTCCAGAAATAGTTAAAGGGATAATGGAAGATTATGCTGAAGTTAGTGTTGCATGACTGCTAAAGTCAGGGCCGTTTCTAGGCATAGGCGAGCTAGGCGGTCGCCTAGGGCGCCACCAGCTGAAGGGGCGCCAATGAGCGCACGTACTGGCACTTTTAGCAGGGTTGTGATAGCTAAAGTAGCCTAAAACCTGAAAATAGGTTGAATTAAGCATTCACATTCAAATATCCATTAATATGGTATTCTAATATAATGTGCATCCCTACTATTATTTCAAAAGAGCAAAAAAATTATTGTTTTTCCATGATATGACTCTGGTAGAGCAGAAGTATAGTTAAACTGATTACTAAAGCAGTCAGCTGAGGCCTGCTCGTGTCTTACAAGTGACTGGTTCTTGTTTCTCTTTATGGAGATTGATAGGCAGGAGACTGTTTGCACATCGGTGAGCCTGACTTTCAAGAACAGAGCTGGGCTATTAGTATGCTAATTGCGCTCGGGCAGAGATTAATGCTGACCTCGCGGTCTAAAGGGTCATTCTTGTATGTAGACGTTGCAGATGGATGCAGGCTGAAGTTGCTGACTCAGTCCTATCTTAACTGTCTGAACTGTCTGAACTGTCGGTTTGCTACATGGAAATGTTTAGTCATACGCAGTGTGTGGCGAGCAGAAACACCCTAACCCTGTTTGCATTCTCCACTATTGTTTTTTCATTGTTCTTTATAGTCTGTTGGCGAAGGCAAGCATCACTATTGTTATTGCTTATACACAGGGATTTCAACAAGACATTTCGGGGCTTATAGCAGTGTAGCATAGCACAAGCAATGCCAAAATAGTGTTTTTGATTTCCAGGGAATGCAATAACTGATAAACTATATCTCGAATGAAGCCGCTTTTCATTATAGCATATCAAATGTAAATGTAACAAGTTAGCAACCACTCAGAACATCTTACCAACCACATAGCAATGCATATCACTCACAATTTGTTTGCAAAAATTGTGTCCTGTTGTCAATAAACGCCGCTTTCAGGGAAGATAAATGCTTTAAAATTCTTTGTGTGGTGTGAATTGGGAGGTGGCTGCAGTCCCATGTGTTTTCAGTTATTCTGGGTGTGATCGTCAGTTCGGGTCACCACAAGCTTGACCGAAATTCTACACTGACATGTTTTATTATGCTTTTCCTCCACTTCGAAATAAAGCTATGAGCTCATGAGATTGTCCATGTCAAACTGTCTGATGATTTGCATGAAGGCAGTAATAACCTGTCGTCGCCCCCTGCTGGTAGGATTTTACCATTCTTTAAGGACGTCTTCCGAGCAATGTGAATATTTTTTGGCACTGAGACTGAAAGGATCTTTCAGTGCATAAAGCATAGTGTTCATCAAATGTACAGTTTCCACCTCTAGAAAAGTGTAATGTGAGAATTCAGCTTAAACCAGTGTTATTATAGTAAAATTAAACCTTAAAAGAATTATTAGTTGAAATAAAATAAACGTTACCTGTAATAAAATGAAATAAAAAAGTTTTCATTTTAATTTAGTTTAATGTCATGCAATAACTAAAACTGCAATAAAAACTATATACAAGAAAATTACTAAAACTTTAAAATGAAAATGGAATTTTATTTCAGCTTTAGTGAAACTTGGTGTACTAAAATAAGTAAATGTTACGAAGAAAAATTAATAAAGACTATATAGCAAAAAAGAAAAATTAAAAACACAACAAAATTACTACAACATAAAAGTAAACTACAAATAAAATGTAAATGGAAAATAGAAAAATAAAACCAATTCAAAATACTAATGAAAACTATTATAGTATCTGAGTGAATCTACAATAAAACTGGCCTAAACTGGAGTTTAACCTCCACCGAGGGACCCAGCCTCTCTGAATGGATCAGGTATCGTCAATGTTTTGGGGAATTTTTCAAATTCCACCTCTTACTGTATATTTATCCAGTTGCTCCACACATGTTTTTCCATATGCCGAGAGCGGTGACAGTTGACATATTTATGTTCCTCAGTGGACGAGCGTGATGATATCAACCTGGATGGAAGGTTTGACTCGGCTGCGGAATTCCTGAAATTCAAATGGATAAGAGATGAAAGACCGCATCCCGCCCAATAACTGATTTATGAGCTCCACGGCACAGTCCAGGGCTTCAGACTGTGCGTGAGTCCCTCTGCTCGCATGATGATAAAGCTGGGATGAGTTTTCTCCAGCAGGGTTTAGAGTTCCAAGGTCAAAGGTGGGACGGCGGGGGGGCAAACAGTCAGCCGTAGCGCTCCTATGTCTCCTTTTCATCAGCAAACCCTCTTACCGGGCTTCAAAGACATTCTTGTGTGAAGCCAAAGAGTGTGTCCTGTCTTCCTGTGGCTGTGCGCGCTAGATAATTGAACTATATGAAGTCTAGTACAATCCGGCATGCTAAACTGATAGTTCTGGCTATAAAATCTCATTAATGCGCCAAAAAGTTGGTTGAAAATTCTTCGGGATTTATTAAGAAATTGAGTGATTTATTGAACATTTAATTTATTTTGTTTTGTTTTGATTTGTATTGTTTTACCTAGCAATTGCCCATAACTCTGGCAAATTCACTATAATAGGACTTGATTATTATTTTTTTATTAGTCCTTTTGTTACAGATAGAGTCAAACCGGCTGAAGTTGGTGTACACACTAAAGCTGACAGGAAATGGCCCTTTGCGTTTTGAGGAAACACACGGTGACTCTCCTGACACTCATTGTTCTGGTTGCCATGGCATTTGTTCTCTTGATGTTTGAAGTCACACCTCTCGCACACACACTCACATTTCAGGAATTAAAAGCCCAAAATGTTTTCTCTTATCTGTGTTTTGTGTATTTATTATGCTCAGAAATGAGCCTTTGTTTCCTTTTGTTTCCCTCCAATACAAGGCTCATTGGTGGCTTTTAGACATTAAGGCACTTGTTCTCTAAGGGGCCGTTTACACAACAACGTTTTCAGCCAAAAACGGGAAACTTTTTATGCGTTTTGCCTGTTCGTTTACACGACAACAGCGTTTTGGGGACTGAAAACGCATATTTTTGAAAACGGGTTTCAAAGTGCAAGTTTTTGAAAACGCCACCGTTGTCGTTTCCGTGTAAACACCCAATACGGGAACTGCGCGTGCGTAGTACGTGTTAGGTATGTAGACATGCGCAGTACGTGTCGATTTTAAAGGCAAGCGCGTGTCGTTTTTAAAGGCAAGCGCAAACAAACATACACAACAATGGCGGAGTACATGGTACTGTTGTTGCTGTTTAAGAGTTTGCTAACGCTTCTTCAGCAAAGTGTGGATTTACTTCACCAATATTACAACCAACAGCGGAGACGCATCATATACACATGACAACAGGTACTGTTTACTAACAAGGTGACAGCTCCAACTGGCATACGTAATACAGCGTTTTTGGCCGTTTTCGCCGATATGTGTAAACGCGAAACATTTTGAAAACATTGTCGTGTAATACGTGAAGCTTTTTAAAAACGCAAGGGAAAAACTTTTCCGTTTTTGACTACATCATTGTTGTGTAAGCGTAGCCTAAAGCAGCTATTGAAGCAACACAGATTGGGAAAAGTGCTATAAAAATAACAATGCAAAATCTTGAATTTACCCCTTTTTCCTTATTGAAGGTTCTTGGTCTAATTTATCAGTGCATATTATTCTAAAACAAAATATATCTAAATATATAGATTGAATAATTGGAACATTTAAGGAAGGAAAGGTTAAGGAAATTAATTGGTCAAAAGGTGCAAAAAAAACAAATTCTGCTAAATATTCTGTTTCACTCAGAAGTGCATCATATTATAGGAATTAGATACATTGCTACTGCTGTTTTATGTAGTTTTTTTTATATCTCTTTTTCATTATGTTTTAGGTACATTGGCTTGTATGGCTTCATTATAATGTAATTATAATTAACTACATTTTAAAATGTTCTGAAGAAAATTTGACTCTGTGTCATCTTACTGGCAAAATTGTCCGATCACTTGGAAAAGTAAAAAAACATATTTTTGCTGACAATTTTAATACTTATGATTAGGGGTTCAATATTATTTCTAGCGCTGCTAAATATATTGAAAGCGGTCTGCGTTGTTCGTCTGTAGTTTGATGTCAGTGTTTTCATAGTTGCCTCATCATGACCCTGAGGGTCCAGATATCTCGTATGTGTGGCACGCAAGCAGGCGTGTGGTCGTGTGTGTCCGGAAACAGCACTGTATAGTGTGAATGAGTTGTGTATCTGTGGTGTGCTATTACAGCTCATCAAGATGAGTATAAAACGTTCTTGATGCTCATATTGCTGTGGTATAATCAGACAATATCAGTGAATGCTGATACGCCTGCTCCTCTATTATACACACACAAAGGTTTCTTCAAGCATGTCTTCGCTGTTGTCCTAAGGCTGCTGTCCTCTCGTCCCAGATACATCCTGCTTGGCCAGCTCAAATATCAGCCTCCACTGCAGGTTACGGGTTTAATGTTGCCACACAGAGCTGCTCGTTTTTTCACACAACAGAGATGGTACAGATGTAGCCTCCTGCTAGATTTAATCGTAAACTGCAGATGGGGTAGAGATGAACTTTTGCGGCAGCCTTATGGTGACTCTGCATGATGTAGTTGCTCTTTAAACGTGCTTGAAGGGGAATGTGGAATGAAATAGGAAAATAAAATGGACCGAAATGGCATGCACTGATTGTTATATTCATTTTCTTCTTTCAGGACTTGGAGTTCCATGGCGTGATGCGTTTTTACTTCCAGGATCGAGTGGCGGGGAACTTTGCCACAAAGTGTATCCGAGTGTCCAGCACGGCGACCACGCAGGATGTGATCGAGACGCTGGCGGAAAAGTTCAGACCGGATATGAGGATGCTGTCTTCTCCCAAATACTCCCTCTATGAGGTCCACGTCAGTGGCGGTGAGTTATAGGAACACAAATATCATCAAAATGCCATTTTGTGACTTTTTACTGTTAATAAATTAAAATGAATTTGTCACAAAATATACAGTACCATTCAAAAGTTTGGGGTCGGTAAGATTTGTATTTTTTGAAAGTTTGTGAAAGAAGTCTGATGTTCACCAAGGCTACCTTTATTTGATCAAGAATACAGTAAAAACTGTAATATTGTGAAATATTTTTACATTTTTTTTATTTCATTACGTTTTAAAATGTAATTTACTCCTGTAATGCAAAGCTGAATTTTCAGCATAATTACTTCAGTCTTCAGTGCCACATGATCCTTCAGAAATCTTTCTTATTTGCTGCTCAAGAAATGTTTCTTATTATTATCAGTGTTGAAAACATTAATATGTTTTGTTGAGACCATGATGCATTTTTATTTGAAATATAATATGTTTTGTAACATTTTATGTCCTTACTGTTATTTTTGTGCTCCCTTTAATTTAATGCTCCCTTGCTGAATAAAAGTATTAATTTTAGCAACGCAACTCAATGTCACATTGTTGCATTAGGGAAAAGTCAAAATGCAGTTCATAATGCAAAACTGCATATATCTGCGTACTTCCAGAGTATGTTTCTGGCCCTAATGTTTTAGTTTATCTGGTTGCATTTGCTAGCACATTTAATATTTGCTCTTACTTGCATTCTAGAAAACATTCTGTCTTTTGCATATACAATATGTCAGGAAGACCTCGTTTTTTTGCTTGTTTTTAGTAATTGAGAGTGCAGTGTATTGAAACTGAGGTTCAAGAAGCTTTATTGAGGTTTAGTTTTAGGGTGCTTTCACACCTGTAGATCGATTGCTTTGTTCCGAAACAGGGATTAAAATTATTACAATGTTGCTTTTTATTCTTGGTGCGGTTCGCTTTCACACGGCAAAGTTTCTAAACGGACCAAATTTGTTAATACAAGTCACGCGCGAGTAAACTGTTGTCTAATTGGTCAAACTTCCACAGTTTATTTTCTGGGATTTCACTTAGCTGTCACGGCTGTCATCCGTCAGGATGGAACGACAACAGCTTTGCGGGCTGTTGGATTTAAAAAATTTTTTTTTAGCTGTCCTTATGTTAATTTATCATTTTGAGCAGGAGTCCAGGATTCATCGGGAAAACATTTTTAAAATGCACCTACTAGGAAGAAGAGCAATAAGACGGCATTATACAATGAAAAAGTGTGCTCATTTAGTTTGAATGGCGAAGACGTGCTCACCCACAGACATTCACAGGTTCATTTTGAAGTATTAGCAAAACAACAAAGCTAATGCTTTTCACGGAACTTACGTAATTACCCATCATAAATTGTGATATAGCCTGGTT